TGTGCTACTCTTTCTACAGCAACTCTGCATGTATTGCCTTCCCAGGGCATGATTTGTTCTGATTCAGAGAAAAATATTAATTCTTTGGAGACCTTAAAGTACATTCAACCTTATTCCACTTGAAGCTCACAATCTAAGCTGCTTAAGCTGATATTACGTACAAACATGAACATAGTTTAAAAAAGGCACAGGCATCCAGATATACATTTATATTAACATCATAGTCGTAACATTTGTCTAAACATGTTGTCAGTAATCTTATAACTAAAGTGCAAGAGTCAGTCATATGAAACTAAAAGAAGCTATTTAGCTGTCATTTCGTTGCCTTGAAGTTTCAATTAATACACATCACGCCAGGCTTAAGGAGCAGGAATAAACATAGCAACAACAGATGCAAAGTCAAGAAAGAATATATGGCTACAGCACTTCACTTGCTACAGTTTATGCTTTCACAAATTCTTATTTAGTTCTTTATGGTATCTTTTGAAAAAAGGAGCTAGTTTTACCAGTGGACTAGAAAACTCGTTATAATGTGCTTGGTTTGTTCATAATATTCATTCATATTTTAGTGTTGGTCAGAAACATAATTACAAATAAATAATACTTTAAAGTAACTAACTTCTTTCAAAAAACTGATGTTATGGTTGTTCCAGCCTTCTGTACTCTCACTGTGAGCCACCCAGCTCTTGTTTGAGAATACAATCTGTTAGTATATACACTTCCTCACGAAAGGAGACATCTGCTCATTCAGTTTCATTTACCATCCAATTTAAAACAAAAGTAAATAAAAACAAAGGACTAGATATTGTGCTATTGATTCAAAATGCTTCTCTGTAACGAAGAAATTGAAATGTATCCAGGTCTTCTATTTAATTTAAAAAGTAAAAGTGATGCTCAAATTTTGTCTAAAGCCATCACATTCAAGGCATGTATAAGGAATTAATCTCATGTGTCCTCACATGTGCTGTAAGGCATATTTTATGCAATTAGGAGTTCAACATATAGAAGCCATAGCCCTATTGCAAGTGATACTTGCCATTTTGAAGCAGTAGAGGCAAGAAAATTCATTATAGGCGACGGTTTGAAATGTAAGCATGCTTCTTAACTCACACTTGGTATTAGTAGATGTGCTTCGGCTTCATATTAGACCAGCAGTCCTGAATGTTTTTGGCTTCATAACCAATCAATTTAAGATGTTCTGTGCCTCTTCACATATATTTACACTTATATACTTTAGTTCAGTTATAAGATATAGTCTGTTCAGTTGTAATGCTAGATGGTGTAATGACTATTTCATACAAAGAAAGGTTTTTTGTAAAGATTTGAGATACACGTTTTCACATTCAATAAATCATCTTATGAGCCTCTAATTGAGAACTGCTGGTCATGTCCATCGATATATTACTCCAGGACTCTCTGACTTTTAGCTCCCCAGTGCTCCTTGTCTGTGTGCTGCAGAGAGAACTGCAGTTTAGTCCAGAGCTGCGGGTCTCCGCTGCTCAGAGCCTCCAGCAGCAGAGCTGTTTGCTCCTGAAGCTGCTGAAGCTGGCCTTGGGTGCGCTTATTCTCCTTGATCAGCTGCTTTGTGCGCATGGTGATCCCCAGCAAGCCAGACTTGTTGAGAATGTTGTAGGTATTGCTGAAACGTTTCAGTTTGTTATTGTCCATTGAGAAGGGATCCTGGTATTTGTCAGCATGCATCCTGTCGCTGTCAATCTCGGTCCTGAACTCATCTGTGTAGGAGGGCGGAGAGCTGGTCCCTGTCAGCGGGGAGAGAGACTTGTCACTGAGCTGCTCCTGACTCTCAGCTGCGAGCTGTGATTGGTTGTTTGCCGCTTCAAAGTTGGAGATGGGTTTGACTGTGGTCTGCAGTGCTGGCTGTGGGCTTGGGGAGCTGTAAAGCCTGTGGCTGCGATGGTGCCTCCTCTGTCGCTGGTCATGTCTTGACGTTGAACTCACCTTCACCCTCGAGGATCCCACCCACTTAGTGGGTGTGTCTGCAGGGTGTGGGGCGATTCTGGGATATGACTTGAGGATGGGCATGTAGCTTTTTGATTGTCGGATATTTTCGGAGCCAATCTTTGGAGAGCTGCTGCTGCCATTTGATACCACGGGTTGAAGAAGAACCACTTGTGACTGAGGCATCACTTCCAAGGGTGAAGGAAAGCCCCACTGTTTTTCTGCTGGAGTCATCGGGGATGGCTAGAGAAAGAAAAAACAACCTTTAATACCTATAATACAGTACTACAAGGAGCGCATACAAACTGAACACATTCAAAACAGATCAATACAATGCACACAGGCTTAAGATTTACTCTCTCTTAGCCATAGCATTTGACAATAAAGCCCTGGATCTGGAAAAGAAAGAAAAGGCAGCAATGTAGGAATATACTAGCAGTGGTAGTCAGAGTTAAGAGCCAAAAAATCTCAAAGGTGATGAGGCAGATAAAACTCTGCAAGAGTAATGAAACAGACGGACATTCATTGCTGTATTTTACCTGCTTTAAGACAAAGTTATTCATGATGATCATAGGAGACAGTCCAGCATATGAGCCTCCCATCACAGCCAGCTGCGGACCAGTCAGGTCCTGGCTGACTATTGACCCATTCCTTCCTGCATCTTCACAGTCAGTCAAATCGACTGTACTGAGGTACTCAGAGCTGGCATCTACGGAGGGGAAGACAGGCATATGGGTCTCACTATGCTTAAAAGCAACACATATAACTCTCTATTGTGTACAAGAGGAAGGACATTAGTGCTATGAAAACAGTGGCAGATGTTGATAAGCATCTCTAGAGTGTCTGGAAAAGGACACCATTGACCTGATGAGGAGGGCTAAACCAAATCCAGGTCAGCCCTCATAGTTTAAATAAAAGTCATAAGTAAAATTGACCCAATAGAGGATAACCTACATAGAAAATGTGACCTAGATCTCTAGATTTGATTAGGTTTGACCTTATTTATGACTTTATAGTCATGTTTTCTAATCATGGAAATGCCAATTATACAGAGTTTCACCCAGATCACAACACATGCCACATTCACAACACTACCTTGCCAAAACAAAACATACATTAGGATAAAGACAAAACGTAAGGTGTATTGCTACAAAGCAACATAATTGAATCAAACCTGAGAAGCCTGAATCTCTCTCCAGGTCAGGCTTGGATGCTCCAAGGTGTGTTGCTCTGGTAAATGGTGGCGTCCTGTGTCTGTCAGGTCTACTAAAACTGCTCATGCTTGCCTCTTCTGCAAAAATGTTGAATTAAAACTTAAAGGATCAAACAGTTAGTCTTAATTTCACAAGAGCAAAGCCTAGGAATGCTCTGATGGAGTTCAATGTGCTTTTGCCTTGAGTTCAGGGTACGTAAAGGCACTGACAAGACTATATGTTAGTTAGCACCCAGTGAGACTTAAAAAGTGAAGAGACACTGTCAACTTTTAACCAGAGTTACTTGTACATCATCATTACACTGTCTTATTTAGTTTGTTTCCATCCTCCTCTGCCATTTAAGTATCTGGATGAAAGGGAATTCAACTCAGTAGGTCGTGCAGGACATTTCACAGACTGAATTACTATTTAGTGCTTACATAAATTATCCACAAGTATCGAAGTACTGATGGGTCAGTAGATCAGTGCTACACCAAAGGCCAGAAAATCAGAAACACCAGTTTTGAGTAATGGGAACCAATACAAATAGCCCTGCTATAAATACTTCCCTCCTTAAAATATTCGGTCTTATTGAAGGTGCCACTTTAAATTACTAGAGTAATTAGTGTACTAAACATCAAAATATTGAAATGTGATTCTAGCATTGTGTCGACTTCATTAACAGAAAAAAGACACCCTTACAAATAGGATGAAACTGGGTTTAGAACAGGGCAATAAAAAGGTCAAAAGACTTTAAGTGTTATTAGATCACATTATTATAAAAGTTGTGTCCATTTGTTGAATTGAGCTTGACATTCAAGGGGCCTGTCACCCCCACACACCCAGTCTGTTTACAAAGCTAATGCAATAGGAAAGAAAGAAAAAGAAAACACGTCAAGGTAAACAATAAACAAAAGCTAGGAGTCTTAACTGTATTATAACTTAATAGAGCTAACGTTAATGTTGTTGTTGTTGTTGTTGTTGTTTACACACGCAACTTTGCCAACACCGGTAAGCTACTACTGTTAGTTTCTAACAGTTATTAACAGTTAGGTTAACTTGCTGGTAATTGCCATACACTGGTTGACTTTAACTTATCAACACAACTAAACTGCTAATAATAACAAAATCTTAGGATGCGGACAGAAACATCTGCTGTTGTCCGTATGAACGAGCCACTTTCACTGTTTACTGCCCTGCCCCTGCGCTAGCTAGCTCATGCTAACGACCGCAGCTTGCGTTTGCCAACCAGCTCATCCCGAGACTATCGATCAGCTACCTGGCTAATAGCATTAATTTTGCAAACCTTACCAATACGCTCTTTGCTCGAAACGTTTATATTGGCCTCCAGGGTTATAGTAAGAGTTGTGCTCGATTCAGGAGGTCTAGCTCTCTTGTACTTCTTCTGTCAGGTTTATCGGCGGCTGGCATCGTTAGTGTTGCACTACTGCCATCTTCCGGAGTTAATTAGCTTAACTCCTACAGTGGCGTATTTATAAACATTTCCAGCAACAAACAAGCACATGTTCTAACGTTCCTGATACCTGTCAGTGTTCACAAAGACCCCTCCCTAGGTAGAGGTTATAAAACAATGGTTGTGAATAAGACAATACCGAGGGCTCCCCCCGGGCGGTGAACGTGGCTGGGCACAGAGGTTGCCATGGTAACGTGTCAGCTCGAAGAGGAAAAAGGGAGCGTTTGTTTTTGTTGTGTGTGCGGCCTGGGCAGATTTATGTGGCTTATCGGGCTCTAAATATGGACTGAATAAAAATAATAATAAATTCTACCTTATGATACAGAACAAAGATGAGACTCTGTATTTAATCAAATAAATCACACAAGACAAGCTGACAACATAACAATTTAATTACAAAATAAATATTTAAATGAAATAAAAATACTAACACAGTAGAAATGTTACTTTTTACATTTTCATAGATTTTCTTTATGTAGTACATGAAAAAAAATACAACAGGACATCATTTTACAGAACTACTTCAATTGATCCCTTCCTTACTGCAGTGTTTCCAAAAACAGACATAGGAAGACACCTGTGGTGTGGGCTTATGGGAGACTTGTGTCACCAGGGTGGACACAAATGTGTGCTGCTTAACTGCACAAACAACAGAAAATGCTTTTATATCTGTGAGAACCTTGCAATCGCTAAGATGTGATTGATTGTGACTGACAACACTGCCCTTTCTATAATCTTATTTTGGAGTTGACCTAGAAAAAAATACTTTTCTTTAGAGCAGTTTTGAACACTGTTTCCATAAACACTAGAGGGAGACATTACATTATTGAATGTACAAAGCAGCTGTACACTCAGTCCAACATATGCTGCTGTGACAAGTCAAAGCTTATTGGATAATGTTTGAACAAAGAATGACAAACTTTTTAAAGATTGGTCCAAATATATTCAGCTGTATCAATAAATATAGACTTTAAACAAGTGTAGCCACCTTTAAATACCAAAGAAATGACCAAATTACAATAACTGATACAGTAATAGCTAGTATAAAAAAGAAGGCATTGTCTGTTTGGTTCTACATTGCACTGGCTCCCAGGCATGTCCATTGTGTCAGGTGTGAAACAGCAGTGTTTCCACTAATCAAAACACACTTCCTGTTGAAGCTCGTCATTACAAACGCTGTGCCCATCAGCAGAAGGGCGTGTCAGCAAAACAACCCAGCTGTTTGAGTCTGCGGACCCAGTATTAATAGATGAGTGGAGGAGACTCTTGATGCTGTCTCTGGGTTGGAAATAAATAGTGAGCCACACTGCAACAGGCGGTTGGGTCGCCACTGCAGTTACCTGCGAGGGTTCTGGCACCTGACAAACACAAGAAAGAATAATGTATCTTTAATGCTGTTGATTGATAGTTGGAGGGTATTGTGTCTCCCAAGATTGTGCCATTCATTACCTGTCGCATTCTTTTGTTTTTTGTCTCTCCTTTCTCTTCCTTCCTCTTCCTCTTGGCCTTTTCCTACAAGAGGAACACAACTAGCAATAAGCACCTGCATTTTCTGAGATGGATAATTATTATTCTTTTTAACATTATATCCATGTTCTTACCTTTCAACCTTCACAATAGGTTTCCTGACTCTGAGGAAGAAATGGTTCAATAAATTAGAAAGAACATCCAGTTGCTATATTAATTAATCGTCATTGTAAGTATTTGATAACCCTGTATCCTAGAAGTTGCGTTTATATACTTATTTGTTTTACCAAATACGTATTTGTTGCAATCCTAATCGTAAAAACACGAATAATGCTTTAAACATGACATCAAAACAAATAAACCTTTTGCAGTTATGTTCCATGTGAACATTTTGTGACTTTTGTGACCTGTATTACGTTGATAAATCATTGTAAATCAGTATGTATGTAAATGTAATTTCTAGGACACAGGGGTTGGTATTTTAAGACTTAGTATTTAATAATGACGTGTTTTCTTACCTACATTCACATGTCTGATGCTCCACAAACGTCATCTCAACATATTCTTGATCTGGCTCTGAGGGCCTGATTTTCAACAGCTGAGGGTTAAAGCAAGTTACGATTATCAATCGAAGTAATTATAGAACATACAGCAATATATTGCACAATGCCCTTGTGTTACCTGCATGGTGACGTTTGTCGTTTGCGTGGGATGGCACTCCAGGTTTTCATCCCCACAGCAACCTGCACACCTCACCAGCGGGACACAGGAGGGGCTGTAGATGTGCTCCACCTCTGTTGGGTACTCCTGCACCACCTCTACCAGCTTCTCAATGGTCCGGCAGAAGCTGCGGCCCCACACTTCTTGGAACATCAACACTATGGATGAGAGTAGGTTGCTGAGTACAAACAAGTCTATATATAAGTTTCTTATGAGGAATCTTGCTTTAAGAAGACAATAAAGGCGCTGAGCAGAATGTGTGGTCAGATAAATGAATATTTGTTTAAGAGCCGTATTATTATCTGCCCACCTGTCTGTTGTTCTAGCTTACTTTTACAGTGCAGCGTGCAATCAACATCCAGCTTATTTGATTTTGTCTATGTAACCCTTAATTACGGCTGCCAGAAAAAAACAGTTTGTCCTACATGAATCAAACTGCACTGTTAATACACAAACAGCATCAGTAATTACCTCAATTGTCCAGTAATGGCAACCTTATACCATGTAGGCAGAAACATAAAACCAGTTGTGATACGCCAGTGTGTATCCTGTTTTCATTTTGCAGTAAAAATGTTTGTTTAATGTACAGTACGCTTTCCTGTGGGGGTATATGTGTGAAAGTGTCCCAGTTGCACAGTCTGTGGGGGAGGAACAGGGACGACTATGGCCGAACAAACAAAGAAGGAAGAGAAAACAAACATTGGAAACATGGCCATGAACAGAACCCTGCTGGAGCTGGAGCTGAGCTGCCCCGCAGGCACCTCTGGGACTGTGGTGACCCCTGGGGTCACAGAATGGAGCCTGACACCACAACAGCTGTTTATAAAACCAGACAGGCTGGGAGGAGAAGGCTGGGGAAGGATCTACAGTAGGGAGATGAGGCCACGAACTATAATGTTGTATAGTGCAAAGTGCCAGTTCACTGGCCAGTTACAGCTCTTTGAGCTGACTATATGTCTGCTGCTTATCTGGTCTTTTCTGTTATATGTCCTCTAATCCTCTGGCTGCAAGTTCTACTAGTTTTTAACTCTCAATTTATTTCTCTTTTAGCAGCACTGATTTAATGTGATGTGAGGGAGGAGGGGGCAGTGTTTCCTCTCGGATTTTTTTAGCAGTGGGGGCAGCCCCCCCCCCCGTCCTGTCCCCCCGGCAAACTTATTACGTATGAAACAGAAGTGACACTTCGCTGCGACACAAACAAATACATTTACCATTTTAAAGTTTCCAGATGTTTGATATCAGCACGTTGAGCTGAGAACTGACAATTAAATGGACCCACCGCGGTGACGTTTTTGGTGGAGCTGTTAGTTTAATAGTCGACTTGGAAGAAAGCGAACGTTTTGACAATAAGCTACATCAACACAACAGTATGTGGAGTTAAACTGGACAGCCCCAATAACCTCTGAATAGTTCTACTTGTTGTTAAATTGCAATGTGAGCGGCAGCCAACAGGGGTGCATTATGTCGGCAGGATCATTTAAAAGGCAACCGTGACTACATTGTGCATCTGCCCCATTTCTGATACCGTGGTGGCAGAAATTTAACAGCAGCGGGCCGCCGCTCCAAAATCAACATAGAGGAAACACCTGGGGGGATATGGGGATATTAGGTACAGTAAGCAGTTGAGTCAACAGGGCTAGTCCAGACTTGTCCTGCTCTTCTCTAAATTCCAATCAAATTAATTGATGCAGGATTCAAGAATGTGTGTCAAGATTGTAAAGCATATGGTTTGACAAAATAGTTGTACCTGTATTGTTTTAAAAGGAAGATCCCCAACACAGATTTCAGAAATAAAACTAGCAGAAATTCTTACCTTCAGTCGTACTGTTTATGCCTGATAAGGGCAGAGTCTGCAAAACAGAAACAAATAATAAAATGATTGATTATTCATTGTAGGCTGCCGTGACTATGCCGGCATCTGTAGATAATAATGGCTCATTGTTAGTAACAAAAAGGATTCCTATAACCATGGGATTTATACACTAATGAAAACATTTTATATTCCATTTCTGCCAATAGATCCTCCTAAAAGTTACACACTGGATGTTAAAATGCCACGCATATGCTTGATTATCTTAGTCCTCTAGTGGTGACAGCTGGAACTACATTGAAATAAAGCAGATGATCACACACCTTTTTCGGCCACCCTGCAGTGGAAAAGTCTTTTCTGACAAGTAGCAGATTCAGTCTCTCATATATAGCACCATTCCTCTGTGTGTCCAACTGTTTAGGTTCAAAACCTGTTTCCTGTGGTGTAATATTCAGCTCTGTATTTATTTTCCCATTGATGGTTTCCCCCTCTGTCTCGATTTTTTCCCATCAACCCTTGATAAACAGAGTGCATTTCTCATTCGCCTGGGAAAACACAAAACCTCTAGTTGACTCCATCTCAGGAAGGGAAATCTACATTTGATAAAATACCCTCCAGCATAAGCGCTGGACCGGCGGCAGACAACCTGCCTCTGCAATCCCTCCTCATCACTGGTGTTACATTTCAGTTCTTGTCTAGCACACACCTGACGACATTTATACTATGACACTGTGATTAACTGAAAGCGTTGGACCAAAAATTGTTATATAATAGCAAACTGACAGACACAGACTTTTCCAAATGATGACATTAAGGACCGTTGCTTCTTATACCACCTTTCCATTGCTAAAATGCATCTACTTCCTGTTATTAACTAAAATTAGTTTGAGGGTGAGGATAACATCTGTCAGCACTGTGCTACACTCAGCCGTTTCTTCCAAAGAATGTGATTAAAGAGGAATGTCCTGCTTTGATGATGATGATGCATTCACACTCACACAAACATTTCAGAGGTTCCTGTAAAACTGTCACTGAGATAAGTGGCAGTCAAGTCTGTGTATTTGAGACAGCTCTGTCTTGTCTGCGACAGAACGTACTGTATGACAGATATCAATAGATACACAAGAGCTTCCAGTCAACCACTTAGGTTCAGTCCTTCCTGTGTTAGGGGAATCTGTTCATCTCCCTTTTTCTCTAAAAGTGGCTGGTCATCTGGTCAAAATGTACAGCTGTCCAACTGACGGAGTTGTTCTATAGAGTGGCGTTCATCGAACTGTGTCGGCTTTGCAACAGCACCACAGGATATAAGCTCCACTAGCAGAGTCTGCTTCATGCCCAGCATGGGAAAGTCACAGTTCAGTTTAAGTTATTGTTAAAAGTCACTTCCACTCTCTGGGGCATTGATTATTTTATTATCCTCTCTAGCAATGCCAGGCGGATCAAATAAATCCTTTTCCAGCGTTAATTGGCATATGATCTGCACTCTCTCTTCTTGTCTATGGGCGTTCATGAGGCTGCTCCACATCACAAGGGCTTTTTGGCTCTGGTCTCGGTTGCCATTCAGAAATGTGGTGAGGTGGGGAGGATTTTCTGACCTCTGTCATGGGTTAAGCCTTGACATGGCAAGGAAGCATCTTTGGCACCTCCTGTGGTTGAGGACAGAGGAGTGAGTTGCCAGCAAGAAGCTGCCAGATTATGAAAGGCTGCATGAAGATCCTCACGTAGCCATTCCTTCCTCCTGGTGCACTTACAGTATTACTGAGTGATTCATGGTGACTGTGAGGTAATTCAGCTCTGGTGGAAAACGGAAAACCGCTTTACATCAGTAAATGTGTATAAACTTGTCTAATAAATCCCAGAAGCAGGATTGCTCTCTAAGTAGTCCTCTCAAGGTTTCTTTCACTTTATTCCCCAATGACCTTTTTCAGGGAGTTTTGACTTGTCCTCAGAGAGGGTCTTACATTGTTGTGTGTCATTTTCATTTATTGTTTTTATAATAAGGGTGTTAAGTCCTTTAAGACTAACTGTGATTAAGGGGTATACAAACTTGACATGACCTGACTATAAATTCATCTACTCTTGGCTTATAATGGAATATCACGACTCTATGTCCTCTGCATTGTATGTACAACATCTGGCCTTTGGACAATACCAAAACGGTTGTGAAATCATTTAAAAAAGACATTCCAATCCCAATTAAAAACAACAACAACAACAACATCAGATAGAAAGAAAATCTTCGCTGTGCTGAGTTTAGCAGGCTCAACTTCTTGCACAATCCAACAAAAATATATTGCTGCTGATGGTAGATTAAACATTGAGGTCCCACAAGCAGCTTAATAACTGATAAACTGCATCTTATTTGGCAATCAGGTCGATATAGATGTGTGAGTTAAAAAGTTGGCAGTTCACAGAAGATTCAATGATCTCTGTCAAAGTTGGTATGAGATGAATCACGGTCTTGCAACTAACAATTACTTTTGATTACTTGTGTAATCATTTATTTTAAAATGTCATAAAATTGAAAAAAGGCCACAGTGGCTACGTTAATGTTGCTCATTACTCTGAACACAGCATAAAAAAATCAAAAGGTTTTAAATTTGTAATATGAAATCCAAGCATGGAAACATTGCATTCAAGGTTTACTGTAACCGGAACTTTGGCACTTTTACTTGAATAAATTACTTTAAGATTGTCATTGATTAATTGTCTAATCTTTTCAGTGTTAGTCTTGTGCCAGAGAAGCCATTCTCATTGCATAATTAACATGGCCAATTTGTAATCAGGGTCATGCTACCCCAGCCCACTCTGGACACCGTCCCATAGTTTTTTAAGTTTCTTGACATCTCAGTTCTTGTTCTCAGAGGCCTTTCGTTAACAAGATTGACCAGATTGCTTTTCACAGTGAAGGGCAGTTAGTTTGAGCAACAGAGGCTAGATTAAAACATCTATAGCAGCTACAGCAGTAAGGAACCTGTGGCATTTAGAGGTTGACATGCTTGATTGCAAAGTTGCTTTAAAAACTAGTTGGTTTCTGAAGTCTCTAGTGAAAGTTTGTGAGCTGCTGGCTGAGAGTTTGCTCTGTCCTTTGGGTCAGAGCAGAGGACCTGTTGTGTCCCTGGGCTCCTGCTGTCAGGCCACAGAGGCTCCGGGCCTCATTACTCTCCACTCCCACACAGCTGAACTGCGTCATCTTTAACCTCTTCGCTTAACTCCATCTGTCAGAGGAAGGGCAGCGTGCGTAGGGAGCAAAAACAAAACATGATGGGGACCCAGCATAATGGTCATAAAAAGATTTTTCAACTTTGAGGGTCAAGTTGCAAAGGGGGTCGATAGGCAATTCAACAGCAGGTACTCTGGCTTATAGCCAAAAAGATCTGGACGCCAGCCAACATACTCCACAGTGTATTTTCTAATGAGAAATAGAGACGAGACAGATGTAAAGTAAAGAAAATCAAATGCAGATAGGTTTCTTTGCCAGTTCAGCCTAAATACATAGGACAACTTCTTGTGACGTGACTGGACTTGATGATGCAGAACTGGATCTAGGTTTCTCTTCTCCTTTGGATTGCACAACAGCGATAGCAAGGGTGAGTCATGTTTGGTTTGTTTGCTAGTAATTGAGACGTTTTTGATATATTGATATATCAATTGTCAAAACTGAGCATCATTAAATATTTATATTTAGTTTGCCAAAATGTTTCAATGATTTTTTTCAAAAGGTGTTTTGTATTGTCACTCATCAAAATGAACAGCATCAGACCAGCAGTTATCTTGCAGTTGGTACAATTTAGCAGTAAAACAGCTTCCATCATCATTTCCCAAGAATTTCCCCATATTTGGTGCAGGCGAGGGATTATAAATGTATCAAAGTTTGGACTAATTTTATGTTTAAGATAATCAGGGGTGTTCTGTAGTTGGTTTAATTTGGACCCCTCTTCAGTTCTTCTTGACTTCTTTTTGCCATTATTTAAATTGCTTTCTAAAATGTTCTACTTTAAAACAGTGTAGATAAACAGACCATGGATGAGATGCAGGCTTGTGTTTTGGTAATCTCTGTAAACTAAATCGTCTTTTGAACAGTGTTTGGTGGATGCATGCAGAGGGGAACTCGAGCAAAACATTTTTAAAAAGCACAGCTGGCTAACATCTAGCTGTAATCCAGACCTGTAAAGCACCTGCATCTCCAGATCGCTGAAAACATTTAGGCCAGAGGGGAGATTGTGTCCTGGTTTTGGTCTGACTGAAGCTTGACTGTGAACACGAGACCACACAGGACAGAGAGCACTAAAGCAGAGAGATGTGAATACAAACACAGAGACAGCTAGACGAGTGAGAAACAGAGCTACCTCCCTGCCTCGCTGATCCTCTGCATCTATCCTTTATCAAGAACCAGATTCCACATCATCAACACCATGACCGCAACATTAATTCTCAGGCCTCACAGGGGCTGCAGGTCACTGTATCTATTCTCCACCACCACAAAAGAAAGCCAGGTTCTGTTTTGTATACACACGGTGGGTGAAACTACAATGACAGTGGTGCCATTACAGGTCTGACAGTATCCAGCTGGGTCTCTAGGGTGGTCAGGTTGGGGCTTGTGATCATAGAGCACTTCAATACACCAACAAACTTCAATAGAGCATGTGGTAAATGTTTCACAACGATTTCACCAGATATCTGGGTGAATGGAGCCTTTGAAATGGAATGAGTTATTCCACAGATTAGAAAACCAACATTTTTAGTTGGGGTGTCACACAGACTCAAAGCCAAGTCCAGAACCATAACAATACATTTTAACTATGAGGAAACACAAAATGTGCTGAGTGTTAGATCAATCCCTCTCTAATATCTGTTTGTATGTATGAAGGTGGAGCCAGCAGACTGTTAGCTTAGCATAGCATAAAGACTGTAAACAAGGGGAAACACCCAGACTGGCTCACTCCAAAGGTAAGAAAATCCACCTACCAGTGCCTCTAAAGCAAAAACAATAAACAAATGGTAATAATGACAGATATGGTTTTAAGGGCATTTTTGTGCCATACGATTTCTTGGCTGGGACCGGTTATTTCCAGTGATGACAAGAATCCAGAAAGTCACTGCACCTGTCTAAGAAATAGTTGTGCTAAACTTTTTAAAACCCCTGTAAAAAGAAAACTTTACATTTTTAACTCTTTATGCTAACATACGCTAACTGTCTCTTGGCTTTGGCTTATTTAATGCACACAATTGAGGAACAAGAAAGAGAATAAGCAAATTCCCACATTGTTAAACTATTCCTCTCAGATTACTTCTAATACTCTTTTTAAAGAGTGAGATAATGATAATTAAATAATTTAATATTATTATATCGTAGATCCTTCGTCATCTGCAGGGAGTTTGGAAACATTACAATCATGTTTTCTTGGAGTAGTTGTTGAATGAAAAATCCCAGTAAAACAGGGTCAAGTGACAGGGGGAGAGGTAAGGGTGCATATAAATGTTGATTTAGATAGTCCATTAATGCATGCACAAATGTCCCCCAAAAGACACACACAAACACACATAACCACTGTATAAACCGTGCACCCCATCCGCAAACATACACACACACGACACAGGTCTTGAGATAAGGCTGACCGGTGGTAATTGTGGTCTCTATTACAGTAAACGCTGTTCTCCCTCTGTAAACCACAGTAAATTACATCCAGATGGGAGATTAAAGCTTGCTGAGTAGACGGCTGCCCCGAGCACCACCGCTCCTCCTCCTCCTCCTCCACGGGAGGAAGGAGAAATCCATATTTCCTGATTGCGATTGCGACCCTCCCTTGGGCCAGGACATTACAACTAGAGAGAAATACCACAACAACGCAAATAGGAACTCTATCAGTCAGCAGGTCACTAGCACTACATGGCCCAGCATGCAGACATCTGAACTAGAAAGATGTGTATGAGAGACACAGAAAGAAGGGAGAATCTTTAATGTTTGATTGTCAATAAAAGAGCTGCATCTTGACAAAATCTGTTGCTCCTTGATTCTGAGGATCTGAAACCTTCACCTGATTTTACTGTTCATATTTTGGATAAATCTTTTGCTCTATTGCAATAGAAAATTTAACATCATCACATACATTTGGCCAGTTAAGAGCAAGAATAAGAAAAACACTATTAACACAAACACAGACACACACGTGAGCGATACAGATGGTCGGACTCATTGTTGTGCTGCTGGTGATGGCGTAAAGGAAACACCTGTGTAACGTCACGTCTGCACACAGATACAAGAGCAGGAGCTGAGGCTCACTGTGTGTTCTTTTTTTTTGCTCAGAGACATCAGGAACATACTTCACTGGTGAAGTGATGAGTCTAACCACAAAGGCAAATGAATTAAGCAAGAAGTTTTTTTTCCTATATTTGGTTTCTATGGGTTTTATCCACGGAAAATGTTGTATCTTAAAACAGATAAAGAATTTTGTAATCTCATACCAAAGAAGCTTACAATTCTCATCCTTCACTGATTTTCTTAGAATAAAAGAAATATTTTAAGGCCTGATTCCTGATTTGTGCAGCAGCCCATGTCTCCAGCGCTTAAGTGGAAATGCTGAGTAATGTCAGTCAGGTTTGGTTGTGTTGATGCAAGATTTCACTTGTATTTTCATACACTCAATCATTATGACGATAAAGAAAAGGTATTGCTCACACAGTCCATCCCGGTGTTGTGTTTTTTTAATAAGGTGGGGAAAAATTTTTAATGGGCAGGAGGCAACAGGTACTGCACATTCTGGCAAAGCTCTTTCAGTCTGCAGAGTGAAGTACAGGCAGGATCTAAGCAGTAGTTCAAACACAGACACACACACACACACACACACACACACACACACACACACACACACTCTCTGTATGTGCACAGTGTGGGGTTTATGTGCACAAGAAGTACCAACGACACACTGAACTGGAGAATGTGTCGAGGAATGTGAACAAAATAACCAGTGGATGGCAGTTATATCATATTCTCCATTAGACAGCCAAAGTGACAGGGTGAGCAAAAGGCCACCATTGTTCCAAAGGGAAACCCAGGTGCTTCCACCCTCTATCAAGAGTCATACATCTGTGGGACCAGGACAGCTTCAAGAGAATGAATCCAAACTGTACATATCAACATAAGGCACACATGATTTGGAATCACAGAGACTGGGACAACATGAATTCTATCAATTGTCTCAGCAAATAATGTTTTTTATGCAGAAGGTAACTAACTGACTCTAGTACTTTATCAGCTTTGGTTTAGATACACAATTTGTACACTCAGGTGCAGCCATGTCCTCAAATCTACTTGACCTTTACACTTATTATATTATTATCTTTTTTTAACTTTAGGAGGTAGAAGGGGTGTCCTTTTTAATAATAAACTACTGACATACGCAACCAATCATGATGGGACATAAGTAGACATTGCTTTATCCAAGAGGTCAGAAGCCAACAAAGCCGGGCTGCTGCTGCAACACACTATTATGACACTCTGACAACCTAAAGTCCTTATGAAGATGAAAACACACAGGGGCCACAATAAACACCATACACACACACACACACACACACACACACACACACACACACACACACACACACACACCGGATAAGCTGTAAATTCCTGGTAGTAAAACAGAATTATTAAGCAGAAGTGAAGATAACCCCACCCTCTCTCGGCCACTTCACGTCTCATAGCAGACATGAGTAACTGCATGAGTCACAAAGCTGCTGACAGCAGCTCCAGCTGTGACAGTGATGAGAAATCTTCATTATCAATTAGTGGCACATATTTATGGATAGAGGATCACAGGGGCAGACATTTATAAAAAAACATTCCCAACCACATGGCCAGTGTTTGCTTTTTCCACTTTGGTAAGCCAGTCTGACAGTTTACTGTGGGAGCTGGAAGAAAAGACACCTACCAGAAGAGTCCCAGAAAAGAGCTGCTAGCGCGAGTGTCACTTGTCTACAGTCAAATATTTGGTTCCTCAGACGTATTTATGTGCACTAAAGCAGGAAAACAGGTCAACCTTTCCTTTTTAAGCTGACCTTTTAACATAAAGCAATGAATGGCGACTGAAGGGTTAGAGAAGGACCTCAGCAATAACAAGGTCAGATCCTCATAGACAGTCTTCATGAACTGACAGATAGGTTGTTGAATCTCTGAATTGTTTGGTTTACATTTGCACTCAGTCTTTTGGGCAGCAATGAGCAAGGAGCTATTTAACCTGCTACAAGTTGAGGGCCCTGGATTTTGTCACTCCTATTTTGACTGAGCAGGCCACGAGCTGATTATGAGGATTAGTGGAGATGGGGTGATCCCATGCCTCTCCCACTCACCCTCAACTCCTAAACAGCTGCAAAGTCTCCAGCTCTGGTGCGACATGGAACTTTTTCCAACCTTGAGAGCCTGAGAGAATGAGTGTAATACTTCTATATACAGACTGCAGCCTGGCAAAAGGGAAACTGCTGCAGTTTTCAACAGGCAGCAGCAGTTTTCTGAAGTGTGACAGCAGCAGTGAATGGACACGAGAAGGGCCTGCTTTTGCATTAAACATGAGCACCATCAGAGATAGCTGCCAGCCCCCAGCCACCTTGGGAGGAAATCAGAGCCTGAATGGGTTCAAGAGCCTGAGCGGTAGTTGGCACATGTCCCGCTGTCCAATGCCACCTCCTCTTACAAGTGTTTCTACAGCGCAACACAGGCCTTTGAATTACTTCTCACTCCAGTTTCGGTCCTGTTCTGTTCTGGCTAAAAGGCAATGCCAGGCAACAGAGAACAGAACAGCTTTGTACAACTGCCAGCCTGACAGTGATATGACCGGCCTGAAATTAAGTTCAATAGATTTTTTTTGTATACACAGACACACTGGTTCATTTTCATCATGGTGATTATTCCCACTGCATGTACCCATTAAACCTGTAGATATTCCAAGATTAAAAAAAGAAAGGGCAAAAGAGCAGCAGACGAAAAGAAGAAGACTGAAGACAGTGAACCTTCTTGCCAGTTTTACCTGATACACTGCCAACACTTTCAGTCTGTCAGACTAAGCAGCCTGCTAACTCACCAGGATCTGTTACCTCTATTTCTGAAGTGTTTAAAAACTCTAGGTATTAACAAATATTTATTAAAGAGTGTTTCCTTGCTGGAAATGTACACTGCACAAAAAAAGAAGAAGAAAAGAATCTCATCTTACTGGAGTGGGAATAAACTCTGTCTGTGAAACTTGGCCTTAAAGCATAATGCAGCTGTAATTATAAGCTTAGTAAGATTCGCCAAATATAACAGTGAGTCATTTGGCATCATGCGCTCCACAAGTAGAGTGATGCAGTTTGTCACGTTTCATCTTATGAATGAGTCGAACAGGATGGCGCTCATTCAAAACGGAGAAAAGGTGTCAAAGAACAATGGATTATTAACACTTCATCCACAGGCACAGGCATTATTATACAGAAAGTTGCATTATTATTTTATAGTAGACCCAATAACTAGAATGTGAATCTTAAAACTTAAAACTTCTCCCCTCGCTGAGAATAAAGTGTAACTTCCTACCTGTGCAGGTGAGAGCAGCAGATAAAGCGCCACTGCAGTCTGGATGACAAAACCGAGTTTCATTTCGCGATGTCTGCGAGTGGAGGCGGGTGGATGATGCCTCCCGATGCACACAATAAAAAAACAATCCAACATAAAAAAAAAGAAGAAAAAAAGAAAACACAGTCCTAGTCAGAGGAGACAAAAGATGCTGACCGGCAGTTTCCAAGTAGTCAGTTCCCGGTTTTAGTAAAGCTGCGAGTGAGTGCAGTCACGTAGCTCCGCAGCCGCGTGTAACCCGATGAAGTAGATTGTGCTTACTAATGAATAAGGCCCCAGAGGCGAACTGGAGCAGCTGATGCAATAAAATAATACTGTCAAAAAAAAAGAAAGAAAAATCTTTATATTCACATTTAAAAATCAACCGAATCAAAGTACAAAGCCTAAAACGACTCTACTGTCTGCAGCATCGAAGAGTACCAGCCGGTTTTTACAAACCATATTCACTGCACATAAGTTAAAAACGGAGTCTATTCAGTCCAAAAAAATGGCTCCAAGAAACATGCATGAAGTTGCACCAACAGTTTTCAGTCCTGCTCTGAGCTCCGTTCAGCAGAGAAACTCACTTGCCTCTAATTGTCCCACACTACCTTTTTCACAAGCTGGCCATTTAAATCTCCTCCCCTTCTCCCTGCTCCTCTCTGCTCTCCTTTATCTGCCTCCACACAACTCACTGATGAGATGAGGCTTTTTTTTTTTGTTCAACTCCCCTTTAAGCTGCAACTTGTATTTCATGGTAATTTATGTGATGTTGTAAATGGTTATTGCAGATATTGTGACACCGCTGCCTATGCTTTATTTCAGATTTCTAGACTATACATACATCACAGGTGATTTACACTACAGAGTACACAAGGCTTGCTGAGAAACTTCTACTCAGAAGCTGTTCAGGCAAGGTAAGCATTCAGAGATCTTTTTCTCTAGTTGTGACACGGATGGTATACGCATTGCTGGCCCAGGCTCCAGGATGCACAGAGATTTTCCTCTGAGGCTTTAGTGTTTAGTCAAGTTTGCAGAGACAGAAAGGGAGATTCCATTACTGTTGACACATAGAGTTAATCTTCAGTGTGGGACTTCTGTGTTTGGAGAAACCCTGGAACGAAAGGATTTCTTGTGGGCTTCCACACATTCCTTCAACAGTGCTGAATAGCTCCACGGCCTCTTTCTATTGTACAAGACCACACTCAGGAGTGATGGTGTTTCTAAACATCTCAGACACTTTAAGCAGAGTAAGCCATCCCCCCCATTATACCATCAGCCTGGACAGAGCGTCAGTGAGTGCAAACAATCAGGGATTTTGGAAGACATTTCCTCTAATTAAGCTGGGCAATATCATAGTAGTCTTTTCCTAAATTGTATCTCTACATGGCAATGATGGATGCTCTTTGAAAATTCAGGGAGAGGACAGAATGGAAGCAAAGTAAACTGTGATTCTTCAGGGAATTTGACTCTACAATTATTCTGTTTTAGGCCTGTCTCTCTTGCTGTGCTGTCATTGTCTGGGTGGTGAGTTTTCTTTTACAACAGTATCAATCTTCTTTTTCCTGACTGTCAATTTATTCACTTTATTGCCACAGCATTGCAACTGCAGATGGACCAAAGACTGCCCAAAAGCTGTTTTCTGCCTTCAAGGTAGTGAAATGAAAACATCTACCTCAAGCACAAGTAAGGGCTACTGTATATTGATATAGTGCAAGTGATTTTCATGTTTTTTTTCATATTTTGAATAGAAGAGCTAAACACCGTTGCCACACAGACTTTTGTTTGCTCAGAGGACAGAACCAGACTCTTACTGCCGTTTCGCCATCTGCTCAGTGATCTATCTGTGTTTTTAAAGGTGCACTTGCTGATAGGGCCTAATAAGATCACTGATATTGTTTGCACTATAAATACACGCTGACAAGACAAGCAAACCTGGCTCGAGTGATAGCGCAGTCCAGTCAAGATGGATCTCTTTGCCGCCAGATTGTGAAGCAACCTTGCTTTTGCTGAAACCACAAAGCATGACAGTGCTCACCATGAATCTTTTGGTTGTTGTATTTGGAGAAAAAGTGTCATTCCTGCTCAGATTTATTTTTCTTCTTTATTCAAGCGCGACACTACCCACTATCCTCTCAATTAAATCAAGTTCTAAAAGAGAAATAGGCTTCTGTTTCCTGCCTTCCAGCCGATAGATGAGCTCATTGTGAGTAGGGATTAAAACAAGGCATTTATTCATAAAAATCCCGAATATATGAAAGCTTGAACTGGCCCAGAAAGTAAATATAAAGATTTAAATGTCAGCTAAACTTGTTCTCTAATTGGGTTTTGTGATTGAGGGAAGGTCAGCTGGTCCACTGAATGAGTCCCTCGCAGTTTGCAGTGTCTCTTGATGTTGTGAAGACCAAATGGGTGGCTCTCAGGAACTGGTAAGTAAGCACATTTCCCTTTTGCTGTTGACCCCTCATTTTCCCAGATTGCAGAGTAAAAGGTAAACAGATGAACAACATTAATGATGTCCATTCATCATTGTTGGGTCAGCTTTGGTTTCCACCACAGTGGGGCCTTTAAGGGGAAGGTGGAGAGCCAGGGAGCCCCTTACTTTGAAGGATCTAATTAACAATAGTTAGAGCTCTACAGGGACACCAACGTTTCTGTGAAAGACAGAAGTCATTGTAATGCTTTTATTCATCATCCATGTATCATCTTTGATGTGGCTCAAACTGTGAATGTTGCTTAATACGTATTTTAAATAATAAAACCAAAATATGTTGCAAATAGAAGAGAAGAGAATGGAGAGAATAACCTGAACAGGAGGATTCTGGGAGATGATGTAATATGACTTGTTGGACCACCTGGACAGCAGACCCAAACAGGATACGTCAATATTTAACATCCAGACCTTTTTTCCTGTCATTAATTAGATGTGACAAAGCATGAATCTTTTCCTCCTGCAACTGTATCATTGTGAAGAAACTATATTTGAAATACTGGGTAAATAGGAAATGCTCCAGCCATGAGTAAAAAGCTGCTTACCGTTGCCTTAGGTGATTAGCATTATATCACAACAAGTTCTAAACAAAATCCTGTTTACACTTCCATGCTACATTGACATATTTTTGTCTCAGACACATATTTGTTCAAAGGATGTCAGGTGTCATCCTGTTTTCATGCCCAGTCTGTTCATGTGTGAGCATTGTTTCATTCTATAGGAAGCAAGTCAACATGTTAACAGACAATTGGAGGTTATTTTAGTCTGGAAGTATCATGAATCAGCCCTTGCAGAAATCTCCAGATACTATTTAACTTTATGCAGCTGTGTCTTGGACATCACAATGTCAGTTGGCTGAGGTAACCACAGGCTGTGAAGTGAAGATTTAATTATTGATGTCACAAGAAAATATTGCTGAGTTTATTCTGTATAATTTGAAGAGCAATTATAGCAAACCATATGGCATTCAATCAATGCTGAACCAAAGCTTCCACCGGGAGAAATGCTTCTGGAACAGAGTTGACACACTTCTGTGCCCTGACACAACGATGACTGGAAATGCACTTTTACGCTTTCTTTCCCCAAGATTTAAATGAAAAGATTAATACCACTGCACGTTGTCCGTGAAGCTAGAGCTACAATGGTTAGTTAGTTTTTCCTTGCCCCCGTCGCTAAGTGCTTGCTCATGGTGGTACTGTTGGGTCTCTGTAAATGTTATAAGGAGTTCGGTCTAGACCTGCTCTATTTGAAAAGTGTCCTGAGATAACTTCTGTTATGATTTGGTGCTATACAAATAAAATTGTATAGAATTGAATTGGAATTGAATTAGTCCAGCCTAGCCTCGCAAAACACTGGAAGCAGCAGTAAATGACAATATTTGATTGTACGGCCAATACGGATGGAGCTATTCTGAGACAAAAGTGCAGGATTGATGGAAAAACTGTTCAACAAAATGCCACAAATTTCCGTTTGTGTGCAGATAAAACAACAAGTGTTATTAAGTGAGCTTTAGAGGTGTCAGTAGGCACATTTTTTAACTTAGAAATCAGCTAGGCTAGCCTTTTTCCTTTGCTTCCAGTCTTTAAGCTAAGCTAAGCTAATTGCCTGCTTGCTCCAGCCCCATACTTAGAGCACAGATCACAGAGCAAAGAAGTGAATAAGTGTATTTGCCAGAATGTCTAACTATTCCTTTAATAGATGTAATTATGATATACTGGCTCATATTTTCTAACATCCATAGACACACTGATTGCATCCAAGGACCTCTGTGTCTGTCCATGAGGCTGTGCACCCCCAACTAGCAGCAGCAGTGCTCTGAAAGGAAACTGAGTATTTATCTAAGATAAAATTTCATCACCTCTACAAGCTGCAGGAACAAGGGCCTGCGGTTAGTAGTATAGAAAAGGAAAAACAGCACTGAGAGTGAGTTATCATGGCTTGTGTCATTGCCAGTTGTAAAAGCCGTTAGCTTTATAAATGAAGAGCGAGCAGTGCAAACTGTGCGGAAGAGGTCCTGCAGTCAGAGAGCAGGTTATGACTCAGGCCTGTGGTGATACTCTAAACTCCATTAAGAGGTCCCACATGTGGAGCACATTCACGAGTTCATGGGTTGACGCTGTTGGTGGTGGTTCAGCCTGGGCCGTTAAAACAGATAAATGAGATGTTTTTAACATCTCTCTCATGTTAAAACATTCTCTTCAAATTATAACCCCATAATTATTTTTAATGTAAATATAACGTTCATTCCTGCAAGCTCCAGCAGGTGAACTGCAGCAGGCTGCAGATTACTCTGTAAACATACTTCCTTGTAAATTTACAAGATTTTTTTCAGCCCCTTGACATGTTAGTAAAAGAGATAAAGGAGGCAGAGGCTAATGGAATATACCCTTTAATAGTTAATGTTGCACTGAGATTGATTGGCAGCGAGATCAGATTTATTCCTAGAAGTGGAAGACTTGCCTAAACATGAACTCAATCAGGCAGCGAGATTTACAGGACTGCAATTGGCCTTGAGTGCTGCAGTTTATTTTTTCAGGTTGCAGAGTGTGTTTTTTTAAAACCTCAAATTAGTTTATCCTCCCTCAGGGGCTATGTGTAAGAGTTTTAAAAGGTTTCCTCAGAAAACACAAATATCAGCCACATTGATAAAGTAGACCTGGGGTGACAGTAGCTGTGCAACACTTGTGCAATTAATGTGAACATGGCATTAAACTTACACTTCACACTAAGCTCAAATAAACGTTTCATTAGCTGCACATTAAGTGAAATAGAGAACATGTTGTAATGATTGACTATATAATGCTGCAGCCCACAGTTACAACATAATCATATTCAAACACTGCACCTTTATTGCTTACTAATACACTAATTTGCTTTCTTGCCGAAAGGTAGATAAGACGATCGATAGCACTGACATGTCTGTAAGGGAAAGTCAGCTAGTCTGGTTCTGTTTAAAGGTATCAAAATCTGCCTATCGCTCCCTTTACAGCCTACCAAGTAATGCATTACTTCTTGTTTCTTTAATCTGACCAAAAAGACAAAGTTTAAAAACAACAACGTGTTTCTCAAAATGTCCGTGATTTCTCTTATAAATGAATCTATGCTTGGATCCTGATGAAAGGCATTGGTGGGACAGATAATCATAACTGT